AGAGTCTTTGTGGTGTCAGCTGTACAGATGCTGGTTATCACACAGCTCTTGTGCCACAAAGAAATGCATCCAAAAATAGTTAAAAAGAAACCCTTGACAAATCCTAAGTAACAGAGTACTTCTAAATATTAGAACATAATCTCCACCTGAAAACGTTCATGAACTATCACTTTTTATGGGACCATACCCAGTAAGTCTATTTGACACCATCTTGGATGAAGCAAACAATTGGAAAGCACATGATAAATAAAAATTAGGTATTAAATGGGACAAAAATATCTTCCCATAGAGAAAGCCCAACTATGCTAGCCGATTAAATTGAGCAGCAGCAATCCACCAGATGAGCTGCATCTGAAATGCAGAGCAGGGAGGATGCAGTACATGTTCTGGACAATCTCACTGCATAAAGGCCCAATGTGATGCAGGACTTAGTAGATGGAGTGATGGGACCACAGCCAGCCCCAGCATTAGACATGTGCTGTCTTCTCTCTTCCCCTGTATTTTTGTACTCTGATATTTTTGTATCCTGATTTTGTGTAGCTGTGTCTTCCATGTTGCACAGCCTCCTTGGGTGTACCTTGGTTTGCTCTGAGAACACCCCAGAAGCTGTGTCTCAAACTTACTTTTTTACTTTATATTGGACAGAACTTCAAGCATTACACTGGAGTTGCCTCACTGGAGCCAGAGTTTCTTCTGTCTGTGTCTAACTGTATAAAACTCTCTTGGGCAAAATTAGAAATGCAATAAAGCCTGGTTATAAAATGTTTACTTGGTCTCATTTAGGCTTACAAAAATTTTGGAATGAAATATTAACTTAAAAAGCTACGTAAAAATCCAACTTGCATCATATTTAATGATTCTTGGTTGAAAAAACCCCAAACAGCAACAACAACCAAAACCCATTTCAGGTCAAATGCTGCTACTTCAATGCCACTTTTTATTCACGCAGGAAAAAGTACATTTTGTTTAGTCTCTCTTACACTAGTGATAAAAAATGTCCCTAAAACAACTCCAGACCTTAACTTGGCATCCTGCAGTCTTGTTAAACAAGCACTGTCTAAGATCTGATGTCAACTCAAGCTAGTAGAAGAGAGAAGAAAAGCGTGCATTTGTCATGAGCTCGAAATTTCTGGTCATGCCTGTGACGTTTTCTCTGAGGCCTGTAATTTTTTAACATGAAAAAACTTAGCCTTTCTTCCAAGAGTTTAAATATTAGAGAAAACAAGTGAAAATGACAACTCTGTATGCTAGAGCCAAGGGAGCTGGCAAGGCTGCAGCTGGCTGATCTTGGTGAAGGGATCTGGAGTTGCAAGCAAGGGAAGGGAACTTGTCAGGGGGCTGAGATTCAGCGTCAGCTCAGTTAAAGCCTTTTTACATAAATTCAGGAATGTGACAAGTGTTAAAGTCAATGCCACAATTCACTTCCTTTTTAACTTCTGCTTCATGTTACCCTGAAGTGTCCTTAAAAGAATTAAAGTGCAAACAAAAGCATCTTTGACCAAAAGGTCAAATAGGCTGATAACATTTACTTCCTGGAGAGAAATGACAAAAGGCAAGTGGCCTGGGTTTTACATTTTGTGTGTGATAAATGAAGGCGAGCCTTCAAAAGGAACTCCTGTGTCTGAAAGATTACTGAAAATAGATCTTTGTAAGAGCGTGTCTGCCGTTGGATGACAACGGGAAAGAACATGAGATCAGCTTGCCACTGAAGTTCGAGGGACTTTGACAAGCACAGTTCCTTCTGAGGTGCAGATGGTGGAACTGTCCTTTAAATTTAAGAATTTACTTGGAGAATGGAAGTGATTTTGCCTCTCTTACAGAGGTTGTGGTAGAAGCTACTGTTAGAGAGTATTTTGGAAGGTTTGACTGTTGTAATTAAAATGTTAAATGTTATAAGACAGTAATGCAAAAATCCTTCACACCTGGGTATTTGAAACTGTAAAGCAGCTCAGAATTGAAGGTTAAATGTAATTTATTTTTTTCCTAAAACTTCCTTCCTTTTGTATTTTGTTTTGGGTTTATCTTTCCCCTCCCCCTTTATGGCAGATTATAGAAAATATAGGTTCTTGATGCTTCTTTAAACTGTGACTTTTCCAAATCCAGTGCTAACTACTTAATTCACTTGAGATGCTTTCTGTGTTTATGCTCCCCTGAGTATATTCCCTGTTCCATATTATGTATCTTCCAGCAGCCTGTGCTCTGCACGTTCCCATCTCTGTAGTTCCTCATGGCAGTTTAGTCTACTTTCATGTTTCTATCATGCTCTTTTTTTTTAAATAAAATTTTATATAATTCCCCAAGTAGCCAGTTGGTTTTTTTTCTGAGAGGCTGGAAGCAGTAGTTGTTTTCTGCTCTGTACAATTTCTGAGATTTCTCAGAAAATTTATTTTCTTGTCCTTTTTTTCTATGAAAGAGATTATGATTTGAAAAGGGCATTTTGTTTTTACTGGCATCAGCACATGACTGCATCCTCCTAACCCTTTTTTCTCCAACCATATGGCATCTGCAGCTTCAGTTTGCTACAACAAAAGCAAGCAGGGAGAGCTGATTGAATCTGGTCGTGACAAATGAGCAGCTTTGGATTTGCCAATCTTTGACCCAGACTGAGGTTCAAAAGCATTCCAAAACTTTCTGTTTCCTAACTCCAGAAACCAATCCTTCAGCTAGCTGGTGTTTACAGCTCCAAGCCTGGGTTCCACTGTGGCTGTGACTCGTGGACTGCCTGGATGTCTGTGCTACATCTCCTCCTTGCCCTACGCTCGCAGGCAGCTCTACGGCGAAGTTGGGATGCAAAGATGTGCCATTGAAGGGCAGAGTATGACAATGACAGTGGCTTAATCTCTTCTGGAAGTGTACCCAGGCATCAGAAACATTACCTTCTTCAAAAGGCTTTTGAGGAGTTGATGACTGACACCTGACTGGAATCGTGCAGCCAGATCCAGTGTTCAGATCCGGGTTATGCAGTAACCTGTGCACTCCTTAGGATAACTTGTTAAGGGAGCCAAATGCAGCAGATGTTTGTTTATTACTATGTCACATTCACTCCTCTAACACGTTTCCCCTTCTTACTGTCAGGATTAGCCCTAACCTTCTGTGGTTTTGATCTGTAGGTTTTTATGAAGGTAAGTGGGAGACAACTGCATATTTATTTATCTGCTCCAGCAATCATTGACACTGGTTAATCACCTAATTTTACCAATGTTCATATCTGTAGCTACCAGTTAATAAGCACATTAAAATGTATTTTTACAATGATCAATAGTGACATCCCTGTCAGCATTTCTGTGAGGCTGAAAAGAGGAAATTATAGGGTAGGTATTCAGTCAAAAAACACGTAAACTTTTGAGAAATTATTAAAAAGGCCATACAGTGAGAGCTTCTTTTATTAATACTTTGCTGGTTTTTTGCATTTATAGTAGTAAAAAGACAAACAATATATAATGAAAGCTTATGAAGCTCAGAGATTGAGGAATGGCTTCCAAAAACTGGAATTTATTTTCTTAAAATAGAAACCAAAAATCACTTATGATACTTCTGGGCTTCAGAGTTACTGACCTAATGAAAAATTGCTGCTTTTAATTGTCTCCTTCTTTTTGTTTGCAGCAGTGGCACACATGTAGCTTTATACTAGAAAGGATTCTTCAGAGGCCCAGACTGGGTGGCACAGCTGGCTTCTCAAGAGCAGTAGGGTTATTTCATTGTGCATGCTTCCTAGGACCTGGGTTGTCCACAGGAAGGGCAGGAAATGAGGAACAGGGGTGGGCCTTTGCTACAAGCTCATTCAGCAGAATGCTAAACCACATCTTCCTAAACTCTAAGGCAGTCACTGACAAAGAATGAATGCTTTGTATGGCTGCTTCCCCATGTGCAATTCCTTTCTGCAGGATAAATTGCCTAATTCATTATTTGTCTAACATCATTTCTGCAGGCCCTCATTGAATACATCAGATTTCAGAACAGTATTCCAAATTGTGCAGTGTGAATAAAATTAAGATATATAAAATTTTCTAAAAATTAATTAGAATTTATGATTTTAATCTTGGAATGATACATAAACTAAGCTTCATTTTGCTGTTGGATGTAAAAAAAATTAAAATGTATCCTTAATTAGGGCCTAAAAATTATCCTTTTTCTACCTGAGAATTTTGGAGCAAAATTTTGCTGAGAATAACTTCAAGTGTATACCCAGAGTTGTTTGTATGAATTATATGAAAAGAAACCCAAAACCAACGTAATACTCAAGTTCTACTGACGCTGGTAGCACTTCAGAACAGCTCGAGCTGACTGCATAATGATTACTGAGCACAACTGTCAGGTTTAACCTAAGAATAAAAATAGCACAGGCAAAAAAATGCCCAGACTTGGAAACACTTATGCAAGATGTGTCCTTTTTGTCAAAAAGGTCACAAGTTTAGCGTTGTTTTGTTTTGCTCAAATAGAACATGATGGTATTATTTGGTTGTTTGCATTTTTAAGTTCTCAAATTAAATTTATCTGCAATAACAACTTTGCTTCTTTCTTGGAATGGAGGTTGGGATTTAATTTTGTTGATGGCACAGTCATCTATGAAGCCTCATTGTCTAGGAAACGGTAGACTACCTTTACACATGGCATGGTTAATATGTGAAACCAATATGTTTTTCAGTCCACATATTACAATTTGAACTTTTTTCTTTTTTTCAGCATAAAAGACCTAGTACATCTCCCTGATAAGGTTTCAACTGCTGCTCTTCCTTAAGGACACACAAGCAGAGTTAAAATCACTTGCAAAACCATTCTGCTCAGTGTGATTTAAGAGTTCGAGTAAGCCGAGGGAACAGCCTGGTCAGGCCAGAGAGGGCTGAAGGAGGTGTGGCAGTGCTCTTCCATGGCCTCCTAAGGGGTTACAGAGAAGACAGGAGCAGACCTGTGTCTGACAGGCACAGTGAACAGACAAGAGGCAGCAGTCCTGTATTGCCACAAGGGACAAAGCAGTTATACAGAATGTAAAAAATCCTCACCCTGGAGTAAAGGTGTGGGTTCTCTGGATGGGGCTGTAAGGTCTCTGCCCTCAGCTGCTTCTGTGCTGGCGTCAGGTGTCTCTCTAGGTTGGAGGCCATCACAGAGTTGAGTCTGGAGGTAGATGATGTTTGTGGCTGCTGGGGAGGGATAAGAGAGAAGGAAGAAAACTGGAGAGAGTTGATCTATAAAAAGCACACACAAGGGACTTACAACTACAAGGACAAGACGAAATGCACTGTTGCTCTCTGTACCCAAAGCATCTTTCTGGTGGTGTTAAGGGAACCTGGGGCAGCGTCCTCTTCTACCTTCCCCGACTGCCCAACTTTCACCAAAAAACAAGGGCGAGGGGAAGTCAGGGGGCCGAGCCATACTGCTCCCTGTTCACAGAACCACAGCTGTACGGGATGCACAGGGGTCACCAAATCCAACTCCTGGCCCTGCACAGAACACCCCCAAGGGTCACACCATGTGCCTGAGAGCGTTGTCCAAACACTTCTTGAACTCTGCCACGATCGTGCTGTGACCACTTCCCCGTTCCAGTGTCCAACCACCCTCCGGGTGAAGAACCTTTTCACAACACCCATCTTAAACCTCTTTTGACACAACTTCAGGCCATTCACCCGCTCGTCCCGGTGTCGCCCCGCCGGCTCCGGGCCGGGCGCAGAAGCCCTGGGGGCAGCCCCTGTCCGTGTCC